AACGGTTTCTAGGGGATTCTTTCTAAGTTTAGAATAGGTTTCAATATCATCTAAGATTATTCATTTTTTCTTGGTAATCAATGGGAAATCCTCCTTCACCTGTTCTTAGTAACCTATACATGAATTTTTTTGAAACAAGGCTGCTTAACACAATCCTCCCTAATAGAGCTAAATGGTTCAGATATGTTGATGATATTTTGTGTCTTATGCCCAAAATGTAGATATACACCATTTCCTTTCGCAAATTAAATAGCTTAGCCCATTCTATAAACTTTACTGTTGAGTTTGAAGAAAATAACTCATAGCCTTTTCTAGATGTTTTAATTATTAAGGGTAATAATGAATTGAACTTTAAAATTTACAGAAAACCTACAAATAACTGTTCCTATGTCCACTGTTATTCTTCGCATCAAGATAGAGTTAAACTGTCTGTTTTCCCATCAATGTTTTTGAGATCTTTACGAATTTGTAGTCCGGAGTTCATAGATGAGGAAATATCCAAAATTTATGAAATAGGTAATGATTTGTAATACCCAAGAAACGTAATTGATAAATCTTTTAAAGTTGATAGAAATACTTTTTACAATCCAAAAAGGGACAACCAGCTTTATTCAACTAAAAATATGTTGGTTCTCCCTTACCATGAAAACTTGGTTGATATGCCTTCTCTTCTTAAGACTTTTAATATTAAAGTTGTATTCAAAAATCTTGATACAGTAAAAAAAAATTTTGATAAAGAATTCCCCCCAAAATGCTGATGGATGTGTCTGTAAGATTCCTTGTAAAATTTGCGATAAAAATTCATTACGGTCAAACTGGTAAAAATCTCGAACTAAGATTAAAACAACATAAATATAGCATTAGAACTGGACAAGATTCCAATGCTCTATTTATTCATGTGAGAGATTTTAACCATCCAATTGATTTTCAAAAAGTTGAGAAAGTTGTATCAAGCAAGTCCATGGTCGACAGGAATATAATTGAATCTTGTTTCATAAAAAGCAGTTTTGACAACAATATGAATATTTTCTTTGGTTTATATAAATTAGATCCATTTATAATTAATAGAATTTGGGAAGAATTTAATAATACATTGGACAAATAATAATTTTTAAAATTCTTATTTCTTGGATAGAATAGTTTGTTTGTGGGTTGTGTGAAGAACCTGTCTAGTTGGGCCGGCAGGCCTGCTGCAGTGTTCCCTTTCTTATGGGGTGCGTGTCAGGTGTTCCTTTGTTGTGGGATCTGATAGTGAGGTGTGGGCTAGACCGTTTATATACCTTCCTTTGATTTTCTACTTTCATTGTTCCTTGATAATGTGAGTAGTCACGAAAGCGCTTGGAATTTCTCTATTTTTTCACAATGGTTTTTTTGCATATTCTGAAATCACCTGTTTACTGTGATCTTATTGCATATATATATATATATATATATATAATATATATATAATATATATTTTATATATATATATAATATATAAAATTATGTCGTGCCGAATAGGCAGAACTTGTGATCTTGGCTTAAATAGCAACGCTCATCTTGCCATATAGGACAAGCGAAAATTTGTGTATGCAATAATTTCGCCAAAATCATTCTGAACCTAACGAAAAAAATATATTTCACTGTGTTTGTTTAGTATTAAATTATTGTAAACAAATCTAAAATATATGTAGTTGGGTTAGGCTAAAATAAATTGCTCTTGTTATAATAAGGTTACGTAAGTTTTCTAAGTTCCTTTTGGTGCAAAATTATAAATTTTTACATCAACATTAATGAAAAAAATATATCTTTAAACGTATAAGAGAAAATTTTAGAAAGGACTTAATTTTAAATGAGTTCTTGCTAATTGACATATATATATATATATATTCAACAAGTCGACAGTCTTCCACCGAGGCAGGGTGACCCAAAAAAGGAAGAAAATCCCCAAAAAGAAAATACTTTCATCATCAATCAACACTTTCATCTCATTCACACATAATCACTGTTTTTGCAGAGGTGCTCAGAACACAACAGTTTTGAAGCATATACGTATAAAGATACACAACATATCCCTCCAAACTGATAATATCCCGAACCCCTCCTTTAGAGTGCAGGCATTGTACTTCCCATTTCTAGGACTCAAGTCCGGCTATATAAAAATAACCGGTTTCCCTGAATCCCTTCACTAAATATTACCCTGCTCACACTCCAACACATCGTCAGGTCCCAAATACCATTCGTCTCCATTCACTCCTATCGAACACGCTCATGCACGCCTGCTGGAAGTCCAAGCCCCTCGCCAAAAAAGACCTCCCTTACTCCTTCCTTCCAACCTTTTCGAGGACGACCCCAACCCCGCATTCCTTCTCCTACAGATATAAATGCTCTCCATGTCATTCTACTTTGATCCATTTTCTCTAAATGACCAAACCACCTCAACAACCCCTCTTCAGCCCTGTGACTAATACTTTTATTAACTCCACACCTTCTCCTAATTTCCACACTCAGAATTATCTGCATAATATTTACTCCGCACATTGCCCTTAGACAGGACATCTCCACTGCCTCCAACCACCTCCTCGCTGCTGCATTTACAACCCAAGCTTCACACCCATATAAGACTGTTGGTACTACTATACTTTCAAACATTCCCTTCTTTGCCTCCATAGATAACGTTTTTTGACTCCACATATACCTCAATGCACCACTCACCATTTTTCCCTCATCAATTCTATGATTTACCTCATTTTTCATAAATCCATCCGCCGACACGTCAACTCCCAAGTATCTGAAAACATTCACTTCTTCCATACTCCTCCTCCCCAATTTGATATCCAATTTTTCTTTATCTAAATCATTTGATACCCTCATCACCTTACTCTTTTCTATGTTCACTTTCAACTTTCTACCTTTACACACACTCCTAAACTCATCCACTAACATTTGCAATTTTTCTTTAGAATCTCCCATAAGCACAGTATCATCAGCAAAAAGTAACTGTGTCAATTCCCATTTTGTATTTGATTCCCCATAATTCAATCCCACCCCTCTCCCGAGCACTCTAGCATTTACTTCTTTTACAACCCTATGTATAAATATATTAAACAACCATGGTGACATTACACATCCCTGTCTAAGACCTACTTTTAACGGGAAGTAGTCTCCCTCTCATCTACACACCCTAACCTGAGCCTCACTATCCTCATAAAAACTCTTTACAGCATTTAGTAACTTACCACCTATTCCACATACTTGCAACATCTGCCACATTGCTCCCCTATCCACTCTATCATATGCCTTTTCTAAATCCATAAATGCAATAAAAACTTCCCTACCTTTATCTAAATACTGTTCACATATATGCTTCAATGTAAACACTTGATCTACACATCCCCTACCCACTCTGAAACCTCCTTGCTCATCCGCAATCCTACATTCTGTTTTACCTCTAATTATTTCAATTATAACCCTACCGTACACGTTTCCTGGTATACTCAGTAAACTTATTCCTCTATAACTTTTACAATCTCTTTTGTCCCCCTTCCCTTTATATAAAGGGACTATAAATGCTATCCGCCAATCCCTAGGTACCTTCCCCTCTTTCATACATTTATTAAACAAAAGCACCAACCACTCCAACACTAATGTATAATATATATATATATATATATATATATATATATATATATAATATATATATATAAGTCGTGCCGAATAGGCAGAACTTGCGATCTTGGCTTAAATAGCAACGCTCATCTTGCCATATAGGACAAGTGAAAGTTTGTGTATGCAATAATTTCGCCAAAATCATTCTAAACATTACAAAAAAATATATTTCATTATGTTTGTTTAGTATTAAATTACTGTAAACGTATTTAAAATATATTTAGTTGGGTTAGGCTAAAATAAATTGTTCTTGTTATTATAAGGTTAGGTAAGTTTTTGAAGATACTCTTGGTGCAAAATTAAAAATTATTACATTAACATTAATGAAAAAAAAATATTTTTAAACGTATAAGAGAAAATTTCAGAAAGAACTTAATTTTATATGAGTTCTTGCGAATTGACCAGTTTTACATATTCGGCACATTATAACCCGCTAAGTGGTAGGGATACTTCGACTGTGTCAGGATCCAAATCATGTACTTTTGACATTATTGCAAGATTTACTTAGGACAACTTTTCTGTTTGCTAGAGTTTTATCAGTGACTTGATAACTCTCTTGCAGAGCAAAACGTTGCCTTCACGAATATTTGTTCTGTAGCCTCGGGACTTATAGCGGGTCAAGTGGGAAGCAACAGCAGACTTAACTGTGTTGGACACCATCAGGAGCGATTATACACTGTAGATACAGTAACTGCACCAAGCACGATAGTTCAGGGCGTCTTCATTCAATGTTACTAGTGAAGGGCTGTTGTTCTAAGGAAGAGAAGTTATCTTCTACTTCTGCAGATTTCAAAGAGATGTGACCCTTACTGGTTTAACGCCTCTTCATCATCACTGACACTATCATAATAGTAATTATGATATTATTGTAGCTGTTGGTAATAGAGTTGTGTTTATTATTAAAAGTTGTAATAGTTGTAGTACTAGTGGTAGTAGTAGTAGTACTAGTAGTAGTAGCAGCAGTAGCACTAGTAGCAATAGTAGAAGTACTAGTAGCAGTAGTAGCACTAGTAGCAGTAGTAATAGTACTAGCAGTAGTAGTATTAGTATTACCAGTAGTAGTAGTACCAGTACCAGCAGTAGTAGTGCTAATAGTAGCAGTAGTAGTAGTACTTGTAGTAGTAGTAGTATTTGTAATAGTTGTAGTAGTACTTCAAGTAGTAGCAGTAATAGTAGTACTTGTAATAGTAACAGTAGTAGTAATACTTTTAATAGTAGCAGTAGTAGTAACACTTGTAGCATTAGTACTTGTAGCAGTAGTTATAATGTTAATAAAATAAACAATAATATTAATAATAATAATAAAGTAATATTCTACTGTAAAATGATTAAAATATTTCTGTGATGATCAGGTCGGTGTGACTTCTACACATCAAGAGAAAGTTTCATGCCTTTCCTCTACTGCATGATAGCCTCCAAGAACAGCCCGCTGGTTCCTGCAGTAAGTAAAAGGTACAGTGGAAAAGAAAACTGGTGCAAGAAACTAACACTATCCTTCCCTTCCTTGGAACAAGCCCCATTAAATCCCTTTTACCCAGGCATTGTTTCACCCCAACCTGCTATCTATATATACGTCGTGTCGAATAGGTAAAACTTGCGATTTTGGATTAAATAGCAGCGCTCGTCTTGCCGAATAAGGTAAGCGAAAATTTGTGAATGCAATAATTTCGCAAAAATCATTCTGATCCAAACGAAAAAAATATATTTCATTGTTTATTATTAAATTATTGTAAACTTGTCTTAAATATATTTAAATGGATTAGGCTAAATTAAATTGCGCTTGTTATAATAAGGTTCTTTTGGTACAAAATTATAAATTTTTACATTAATTTAAATTAAAAAATATGTCTTTAAACGTATACCTGGAAAGGGCTTCGGGGGTTAACGCCCTCGTGGTTGATCAGGGCCTGATCAACCAGGCTGTTACTGATGGCCGCACGCAAACTGATGTACGAACAACATCATGGCTGGTCAGATACTGACTTTAGTCGCCTGTCCAGTGCCTTCTTGAAGACAACCATAAGGGAGATTGATAATCCCCTTATGTAAACTGAGAGGCAGTTGAACAGTCTTGGGCCCCGGACACTTACTGTGTTGCCTCTCCTGCCGAGTGTTTTGCTTTCATAGGGAGTGATTTTCGTGTGCAAGTTTGGTACTAATCCCTCTAGGGTTATCCAAGTGTATGTTATCATGTATCTCTCTCGCCTGCGTTCCAGGGAATACAAATTATGGGACTTCAACCGTTCCCAGTAATTTAGGTGCCTTATCGTACTTACGTGTGCCGTGAAGGTTCTTTGTACACTCTCCAGGTCAGCAATTTTTCCTGCCTTAAAGGGGGCAGTTAGTGTACAGCAGTATTCCAGCCTAGAGAGAGCGATTTGAAGAGAATCATCCCTAGTTCTGAAGGTTCCCATCCTATCATTTTTCTAGTAAATGCGGTAGATACATTGTATCATTCCCAGGTCCTTCACATTGCTTTAACACACTATTGTATGGTTAGAATTTGTTTTATACCCTGATACAGCTTTAATTTCATCAACTTTTCCGTATCTGAGTAGCTGAAATTTCTCTTCATTGAACTTCATATTGTTTTGTGTGGCCCGTCTGAAGATTTGGTTGATGTCCACTTGAAGTCTTGCGGTGTCTTCGATGGAGGATACTGTCATGGAAATTCTGGAGTCATTCTCAAAGGAAGGCACGGAGCTATGGCTTGCATCTCTGTCTATGTCGATGTGAGGATGAGGAATAGGATGGTAGCAAGTACTGTGTCTTGTGGAACAGCTTTTCACCGTAGCTGCCTCGGACTCTAGTCTATTTACTATTACTCTTTGTGTTCTATTTGTTAGGACGTTATAGATCCATCTACCAACTTTTCCTGTCATTCCTTTATCACACATTTTGTGCGCTATTACACCGTGGTAACAATTGTCAAAGGCTTTTGCAAAGTCTGTGTATTCTACATCTGCATTTTGTTTATCCTCTATAGCATGCACGACCTCGTCATAGTGGTCCAGTATCTGGGACAGGCAGGAGCAACTTGCTCTAAACCCGTGTTGCCCTGGGTTGTGTAACTGATGGGCATCTAGGTGGTTGGCGATCTTGCTTCTTAGAACCCTTTCAAAGATTTTTATAATATGGGATGTTATTGTCTGAAATTCTTTGTAAGTGCTTTGATGGCACCTTTGTATTGGGGCTATGTCTGTTGTTTTTAGCGAGTGTGGGATGACCCCTGTGTCCTTGCTGTCTCCATAGAATACTGAAGGCACGTGACAGGGTTCCATGAGTCAGGGCCTGGGACAGAGTGCATGGGCATGTCATTTATTGTCTTTTTCAGAGCTTTTCGGCGTTAGGATAATATCAGAGATTTTTGAGATGACCAAATTTGGGGTCTCGTTCATAAAGAATTAATTCAGACTGTCGACCTTTAGTCTGGGTAACGGCTAGCTAAGACTGAGTCTTATTGGGACTTTAGTATCTCACTCATTTCTTGGCTGTTATCTGTGTATGTCCCATCTCACATAAGCAGGGGTCCAGTACTGGATGATGTTTTTCCCTTAGATTGGGCATAAGATAAGAAGTATTTTGTTTTTGTTTTTCAGTTTCCTTTATGGCTTTTAGTTCTTCCTGAGAGGTCTCTTGTAAGATTCCTTCAGCTTAACTTCGATATTTGCTATTTCACTGATCAGTGCCTCCCTTTGTATTTCAGATGTATTGGCCCCCCTCAGCAGCTCTGTGATTCTTCTACTTAGTCTGTATAAAGAGCGTCTCTCTCTAGTTTACATCTCTCTCTTTTCTCAATGGAATGTGCCTTGAGCAGACCTAAAGAATCATATTTAAATTTTTCTAGGCAAAGGTTCGGATCCATGTTGTTTAGAATATTTTCCCAGTTTGTTTCATTTAGGACATGGTTGACTTGTTTCCATTGTTTGTTTTTGTTATTGAAGTTGAATTTTGTGAAGACACCCTCATGACTGATCACATTTTGCTGGTCAGGAGCCCTGTGCATACATGTCTGTACCTCTATTATGTTGTGATCTGAGTGTAGTGTGTTTGATACGGTGATATTATGTTGTTAGTGAAGATGAGGTCCAGCGTATTTTCTAGTTTAGAGACTCTTATATTTACTGGTATGTTTTTTCAAGACTGGTATACGGCAAAAAGGCGTGATTCGTTAAAGAATTAGCCTATACAGGTGCCCTATGACTAGAATCGTAGAAGCCATTTCATGGGTCCTAGAAAGGCCTGATAACTTTCAAAAGTATCAGCTTCAATCTTTCAAAAGAGTGTATTCTACTTCATCGACGACGGAGAGTAAAACTGAGGTATGGAGGTGCACATTTGACAATTTCATGAGTAAAAAAATATGACAGATTTATTCCTGTTTCAGACGGCTTAAATATTTCATTACAGATAGCACAGTACCCATTAAGCTTAATTTGTGTTCAAAAAGTCTGTCAACATACTGAATTAGTTAAAACATATGAAATTTTTCGAATACATTTGATAACTGGAGAGTGTCTCTTCTGATTGTTGTGATATCAGATGTGGTAGTCTTATATGATGGTAGAAATATTGTCTGCACTGTTGCAGGCAGAAGGTCTTACGCAAGCATTATCAGTACTGTACTGGTAATAATCAACAGTGTCATATTTACTGCTCAAATTCCGAAGGAATAACACCTATTACTGATCATATTGCATTATCCGTTTGAGTGGCACTTGGGGGTACGTAGTGCAATGTTGGTAAATGTTCTCTGATTTTGATTCAAAATGAATGTGCGCTGTATGAATCTATAAATAAGGTTTAGTTCCCTTTCCTTCTCTGCCTAATTTAAAGGACACTGGGAAGAAAAGTGTTTGCCTTTAACCATTACTGCACTTGCAAAGACGGCAGCCATTTTTGGATACTTGATTTATATTTAATCATTATTAGTATGGACATGCAAAAGATGACTTCATTTACCTAAAAAATGGTTGCTACTTTAAAACTTTATTATAATACTCAGTATTCATGTTGATGAAAGTCTCTTAGAGTGGAACAATATAAGGCGACCACCGTGGCAGCCATTTTGGAGTTCTCAAATTCCTGCAGAGTAACAGAATGGCATTCGCTGGATTATCATTGCAGATACTTTAGAGGTTAATATACGTTAAGAACAATGATGCACCATTAAATTTCAGGTTATTCTGTGCTTCCACCAGATTATTAATAAATATTATAGCACATGAAAACAAACAATTAGATGATTACTGTTTATTTCCTCCTCAGAGTTGAGAGGTGGTTTACCGTGAAGCTGAAAATTAACAGCAGTCTGCTAATGTTGCCTATTTATTGTATCCATGGGAGATGGTTTGTGCAGGTGATAAATTTACATTACTCTTTTGTGACTGATATATATTTTGCGTATTACAGGATTACCTGGATGAGGGAGGCCGGACTCTATGATTACTGGATGAAAAGTCTAAAAAGCAATTCTACAGTGTGTCTACGCCCTCCCTCTAAGATCACTGTCAGGTCATCTCTCGCTCTCTCCAACGTCTGGGTAATTACTGCTATCTTGTCCATATTCGTAAAGCATTGTGTATATGGAAGATATGCTCTGTATATTATAGCACTGCATGCGGCTTTCTCCTGCTGGCTCTGTCTTGATGGCAACATGAATTGCAGGGAATGTTTGTTGTATATGGTGTCGGCCACGTGCTGGGTCTGCTGGCACTGGGAGTCGAACTGCTTGCCCACCGTTTCAGCCCCACTCACTGATCCTCGTCTCGAATATCGCTGTTAGTGATTCCTTCCATCTCCAATCAAAAGGGTCCGGGTTCGATTCTAGGTGTATGCAAGGCATTCGAAGTTGCCAAACCCCTACTGGCAGAAAACATCCCTAGGAGCTAAACGACGCTTGTGGGTCGCATCCTGGGGTGGTAGATAAAGCAGCACATTAAAACAAGTTCAGTTTTACAGCGGAGTGATCTTACTATCAAAATAGTAATTCACACTAAACAATTTAGTTAATGTCAAGATAAGTTTAAAATCCTGACTGTCAACACTGCCAAGGTTATTTTTTTTTTCCGTGGGACACACCGAAAACTTAACTGAAATATATTAGCACAGTCGGTGACGGTACTGTTAAAAAAAATAGTATTGTTTTCAAATATATAGGTCAGTCATTGTTCGCAATAATTAGTTTATAATGTCAAATCCATGTTTAAATCTAAAAAAAAAAAAATTCAAAATGTGGAATTAAGCATGTCTTATTACAAATTTCATACTGACTGAGGTCACAATTATTTACAGTTAACTTTTTCAGTTAACTGCACTATGAACAGTATATGATCGTTCTGTTATTAAACCACTATTATCTATTCAGCAGCGTGGCTGGGCTGGGCCACAGTTGCTTAGTTAACTGGATTTAAAGCTAATCAACACTACAACACTCAGAGACTGATTGTCGTCTATGTTCCAGGTATCAGGAAACTTTAATAATCAGAGTAGTGATTAGAACTTGCCGAATAGGTCAAATTCCCTTAAAAATTAATCTTTCCAATAGATTTTCTTACAGAATGATAGATTTTTTGCATTGACAATAATATGAACATAATTATGTTAGGACTAAAACTGATTTACAAACCTTACCTCACCTAACCTAGCTTGAGTTTGAAACCTCACCTAACCTCTCTTCAACTAATGCATTTTTTGCTAAATTCTGATATATATATATATATATATATATATATATATATTTTTTTTTTTATTATCACACCGGCCGATTCCCACCAAGGCAGGGTGGCCCGAAAAAGAAAAACTTTCACCATCATTCACTCCATCACTGTCTTGCCAGAAGGGTGCTTTACACTACAGTTTTTAAACTGCAACATTAACACCCCTCCTTCAGAGTGCAGGCACTGTACTTCCCATCTCCAGGACTCAAGTCCGGCCTGCGGTTTCCCTGAATCCCTTCATAAATGTTACTTTGCCCCAACACTCCAACAGCACGTCAAGTATTAAAAACATTTTGTCTCCATTCACCCCTATCAAACACGCTCACGCATGCCTGCTGGAAGTCCAAGCCCTCGCACACAAAACCTCCTTTACCCCCTCCCTCCAACCCTTCCTAGGCCGACCCCTACCCCCCCTTTCCCTTTCCACTACAGACTGATACACTCTTGAAGTCATTCTGTTTCGCTCCATTCTCTCTACATGTCCGAACCACCTCAACAACCCTTCCTCAGCCCTCTGGACAACAGTTTTGGTAATCCCGCACCTCCTCCTAACTTCCAAACTACGAATTCTCTGCATTATATTCACACCACACATTGCCCTCAGACATGACATCTCCACTGCCTCCAGCCTTCTCCTCGCTGCAACATTCATCACCCACGCTTCACACCCATATAAGAGCGTTGGTAAAACTATACTCTCATACATTCCCCTCTTTGCCTCCAAGGACAAAGTTCTTTGTCTCCACAGACTCCTAAGTGCACCACTCACTCTTTTTCCCTCATCAATTCTATGATTCACCTCATCTTTCATAGACCCATCCGCTGACACGTCCCCTCCCAAATATCTGAATACGTTCACCTCTCCATACTCTCTCCCTCCAATCTGATATTCAATCTTTCATCACCTAATCTTTTTGTTATCCTCATAACCTTACTCTTTCCTGTATTCACCTTTAATTTTCTTCTTTTGCACACCCTACCAAATTCATCCACCAATCTCTGCAATTTCTCTTCAGAATCTCCCAAGAGCACAGTGTCATCAGCAAAGAGCAGCTGTGACAACTCCCACTTTGTGTGTGATTCTTTATCTTTTAACTCCACGCCTCTTGCCCAAGACCCTCGCATTTACTTCTCTTACAACCCCATCTATAAATATATTAAACAACCACGGTGACATCACACATCTTGTCTAAGGCCTACTTTTACTGGAAAAAATTCCCCTCTTTCCTACATACTCTAATTTGAGCCTCACTATCCTCGTAAAAACTCTTCACTGCTTTCAGTAACCTACCTCCTACACCATACACTTGCACATCTGCCACATTGCCCCCCTATCCACCCTGTCATACGCCTTTTCCAAATCCATAAATGCCACAAAGACCTCTTTAGCCTTATCTAAATACTGTTCACTTATTGTTTCACTGTAAACACCTGGTCCAACACACCCCCTACCTTTCTAAGCCTCCTTGTTCATCTGCTTTTCCTATTCTCCGTCTTACTCTTAATTCTTTAAATTATAACTCTACCATACACTTTACCAGGTACACTCAACAGACTTATCCCCTATAATTTTTGCACTCTCTTTTATCCCCTTTGCCTTTATACAAAGGAACTATGCATGCTCTCTGCCAATCCCTAGGTTACCTTACCCTCTTCCATACATTTATTAAATAATTGCACCAACCCCTCCAAAACTATATCCCCACCTGCTTTTAACATTTCTATCTTTATCCCATCAATCCCGGCTGCCTTACCCCCTTTCATTTTACCTACTGCCTCACGAACTTCCCCCACACTCACAACTGACTCTTCCTCACTCCTACAAGATGTTATTCCTCCTTGCCCTTACACGAAATCACAGCTTCCCTATCTTCATCAACATTTAACAATTCCTCAAAATATTCCTTCCATCTTCCCAATACCTCTAACTCTCCATTTAATAACTCTCCTCTCCTATTTTTAACTGACAAATCCATTTGTTCTCTAGGCTTTCTTAACTTGTTAATCTCACTCCAAAACTTTTTCTTATATATATATATATATATATATATAATATATATATATATATATATATATATATATATATATATATATATATATATGTATATATATATATATATATATATATATATGTATATATATATATATATATATATATATATATATATATATAATATAAATAATCATATGATGCATAGTAGAGAATATAGCCTCAACAATAGTTAAGTATATGTCAGGGAAGAACAGAGCCCGCCTCCTGGTAGTGAGTGCTCTTCATGCAGGTGACTTTCTGTTGGCTGTTCCCAACTCCAGCCTATGGCAAACGACTCGACCCACAGAACATTCCCATTGGTGTTGCCCTTCGACTTGCGCTAGCCAAGGATTCGAACCCATGCTGTACTGGCCTGCCTCATGGTAAGCGAGAACCACATGACGCTTTAAACCACAGGACCACCCAACCCTACAAGAATGGTGCAGCCAGCACACAGCTAGCTGTTGGGCCGCCATCCGAGGGCATACGGAGGTGTGGGAGCTTCTAAGCTAATTTCATTCTCACCCCTGTTTAGGGTACTAGCCTCACGAGCAGCATTTATATATTATTGTAACCACGAACGAGTGGTTCAAACCCATGTTCGAATCCTTGGCTAGCGCAGTGTTGTTATTGATCAATACCACTCGTTCGTGGTTACAATAATATATATATATATATATAATATATATATATATATTATATATATATATATATATATATATATATATATATAATATTATATATATATATAATATATATATAATGTGTGTGTGTGTTTGTGTCGTGCCGAATAGGCAGAACTTGCGATCTTGGCTTAAATAGCAACGTTCATCTTGCCATATAGGACAAGCGAAAATTTGTGTATGCAATAATTTCGCCAAAATTTCTCTGAACCTAACGAAAATAAATATATTTCACTGTGTTGGCTTAGCGCTTCTTTTTGATTATAATAATAATAATTTCACTGTGTTTGTTTAGTATTAAATTACAGTAAACAAATCTAAAATATATTTAGTTGGGTTAGGCTAAAATTAATTATTCTTGTTATAATAAGGGCAGGTAAGTTTTCCAAGATTCTTTTGGTGCAAAATTAATTTTTTTTACATTAACATTAATGAAAAAAAAATATATCTTTAAACGTATAAGAGAAAATTTCAGAAAGGACTTAATTTTAAATGAATTCTTGCTAATTGACCAGTTTTACATATTCGGCACGACATATATATTAAGCAAAACAACCACTGTGAAAGAGTGAAAGGATAGTGAAATTATAAGTGCTTTCTTGACTTCTCTCATTATTAAGGAACTATAAAGACAGTACATCAAAGGAAGGCATATAAAGGGTCGAGACCACACCTCATCTTATTGCATGCATGTATATATATATATATATATATCATAGGTCAATTTATATATATTTTATTTTACATTAAATTAATAATATATATTTTTTTCGTTATGCTTAGTTGGAGTTTATCAGTTATGCAAAAAACAAAAATTAATTTTCCCTCTACTAATTCGGCAAAGACCGCCTTGTTTTATTGGCCAAACTGCGCAATTCTACCTACAACTCCTTGGATCAAGATCCTCTCTCCCTACCACCTCTTACTCCAAATCCGGACCATCCATATCTCACTACTCCCTCTCCATACCATACATTCTCACTATTATACCATTTATTCTCTCTCCCTACCTTCTACTTCCTCTGTCTACCATTTACTCCCTCTCCCTACCATGTAATCCCTCTGACTACCATCTACTCCCCATCCCTGCCATCTAGTTTCTCGCCCTACCATCTACTCTCCCTACCATCTACTCCCTCAAACCTGCTCAATACCTGTGGTTTTTACCTGCCGTGATAATAGGGACGCATCCCACCTACCCACAGTTTTCATTCTTATTTCATTTGCTCATAGGGAAATATCTTTTGTGTAGTTAAAGGCGTATAAGACCTTGAGTAAGGTAATGGGAACCACTCCTATGGCTTCTTAACATATATTTACAAGCAA